AAACAGACTGTACATTCTCTGTATACTCCTCCTGCTCCTTTTTTTTTAACCCCCTTTTCTCTGTGACCACCTTGACATTTTCCTCATGGTTTTAATTCTTTAACTCTTCCCTTTTCATCTCTAAACCCTTTCCCTTCTGGTTTTTGGAATTTCCTCTTTTTCTTTCTGTGCTATTTTTATTCCTTTGCTCATAATATGCTAATTTTCACTAAACTGTACTTTTCCATGTTCTCTTAAGTTCCACCCTCCCCAAACTTTCTTCTTTTCTAGTCTGTTCTTAGCTTTAGTCTTTTTAAACACTGTTTATACGCTGTTGCTGGGGTTTCCATGGCCTTTTTAAGGTTTCTTTTATTTATTTCCATTTTCTGATCAGCTGTATCAACCCATCAATCCTATAACCTAATCTACCATGCACCCTTCTTCCTAATCAATCTACCTCACCATCTGAAATCCATTTCTCTAACTAATTTATTTTTTGGATACCAGTGCTACACATCTGCACTGAGTTTTTGACTTTCCACTGCTCAGATCCTTCCAGCTTCATTTATTTTCTGTCCAATAAGCACATCATCTACTAGGTAAATTCTCTGAACTCCTTACTACATATTTCATTGTCCTCATCTTCCTAAATGGGCTGCCTTTTTTTTTTCCACTTGACCAAAATCTTCCTCCTTTCCTTACCCATCACAGTGGCCTCAGAGATCCCGATGACAAGAATAAAAGGGAGAACGCTCTCTGCTTGTCAGCCTGGACTTCCCCTGCCATGTTCCTTCCTCCTAGCTTGTGGACTTTCTATGGAAATCATATTTTCCCTCAGGAGCCATCAGTGGGATTCACACAGCCGGGGAGGAGAGCAGTGGCTCTCACACTGCCTGCCGGATGCGCTGCAACCACAGGCTTTCACTCTTGAAGGGTACCGTTCTCATCCTTGTCACCATCCTTTCAACATGGCTGGCTCTGTCCTCTTCTCCGCCTCAGACAGATTCACCGACAGCCATGGCACTACCTCCAGCAAAAAGCGAGGCAGGATTTGGCCCCAAATCCAATACCTCACCGATGTGTCATATGAGTTAGCATGAGTGTCTGTCTCTGCTGCAGAAGGGGTAAGAGCTAGAACAGCAAGGGTATTTCAGGTCAGGCCTGAGGCGAATTAGCAGACAAGTTGTGAAGCTTACACAACATGTGGCCACATTATGTGTGGCTCCAGTCAGCGCTAATAGCCTGTCATTGAGCTCCATGTTTAAACAATTTGAGCAAACAGCAAACACAGAAGATGGGAGGAGGGAAAAAGGCCTTCGAGGAATAAGAAAGATCAGGCTACTTAGTACACTTGGCAAGCAAATATTGCAGTGATGAGGACAGCAGAGTACCTACTAGGTAGAGACATGACCCAGTTCCTACCATGCAAAAGTAACATAACAGGAAACCAAAAATATCTAAGTTGTCAAATTTTAAAATTCACTCAGCCAGCAATTTTTATAGCTACATAGGAAACTGATTGTTGGTTTAGGCTGTGTCTGATCATGTGAATTATCCAAGAGAAAAAAAAAAAAAAAAAAGTTTGGGTTTAACAGCAAGGAAACCAAAAAAGGGATGAAGAGGAGAAAAAAGAAAAACAAGCTTTAGTAACAATAAAGAGTAAAATTCAACCACATCCATATAAATAACGTTGATACTAGTGTTGGGAAGTAAATATATATTTTAAAATAGAGTAACTTAGAAACCATACTTCATTGTTTAGTATGAAAATAATAGCCTTTAGAGCCAGTACTATTAGAGAACGTATTTAATCCAGTGCAGAATTGGCTATGAAACCGTCCACTCTACCATGGGAATGCTTAGCTCAGTATCTGGTAGTTTGCCAGCCATTTAAAATGTTTTTGTGTTGGTTTAATGATTGTTCCCATGAGCACTGATGGTAAGGGTTGACATTAATTAAAATACTAAGTCATCAGAGCTTGCATTGTGGGGAGAAAGAGAATGGGCTGGATCCAATTGTCTTCAAGGTTTCTTTGGCCTTCCACATTTTTCTCTTAGATGCATCATACATGCCAAGTATCCTCTTAGCTGAGATATAACAATGTAAACAGACTGTCTCTACAAATATAAAGTACTTTTTAGGTTTTACACACACTTTCATTTAACTGATTAGAGGACACTCATTAAAATCAGCTAATCATGTAATGTAGCTGTGTTCTGAATGCTAAACAAAATGCCTAAATGAAAGAGGATTTTAAAAAACACTGTCTGCCTCTCCTAATTTATTTCTACTGTATACTCAATGGCACACAATACAGTAGGAATTCTGGGCCCTATCCTCATTAACCCCAAAACTCATTATCTCATATAAAAACAGGCCATTTTCATAGAGTGTGTTGGAAAAGGTATGAAAAAGCATATTAAAGATATTGTGTTTGGGTACCCTAGAAATATGATAATGGATTTCACTTAGAACTAGGAAATTAATACAGAATAGAACAAAATCCTGAGTAAGACCCACTGTTAAAATAATTTGTGTAATTTGGATAGAATAGCTGTCCTATGCATTTCTCTCATTTCATTAAATAACTACTCAAGATCCAGATCTTCAAAGGCACACAAAGAGGAATAAGTCACTTAATACCTGGAGTCCTCAAAAGGTCACATAGAGAATGAGTAAAGGGGCTGAGCTTTTCTACTCCTCCCATCTATTCAGCAAGCCTGAGTTCCCATCCTACTGGCAAGGGCTCAGTACTGCAGAGAGTGAAAGTGCAAGACAGAAAATTTATGCTACATATAATGTAATCAATAGCCTAAGAATTAAGAGCACTGGCTTGAACAGCATGGAGACAGAAGGAAGGTGCAAGCTGAGCCTACATAAATGCAATGGGACATTTTCGCAGTAAGCAATATATAACATAAAGCAGACTGCTGGTTCGGATGCAAAAGGTAGAGCAACACTTTCTATTTCAAAACGCATTTGTTTGGATGAGAAGTCAGGTGATACTGTGCCTTTGGGTTACCTCTCCATGTCAGGGAAAAACTAAAACCTAAATGAGGTGCCTGACACCAGTTACTATCCCAGTTCGTTCACTAACATGTGGCTCACATTGCTTCCCTGTGACATCGGGGGGCTGTGTAACAGAAGTCCTCATCTCTATCTGCAGTGCAACCACCAAGGTGCTTTGCAACTAGATATCACACAGCAAAGGCTCCTTTACCTTGTTTGTGGACGTAGACCCAGGCCTTCTCCGTGCTGTCCCAACGTCAAGCAGGGACGGGGTCTTTATCACTGGAGACGGAAGATTTCTGTGATGGAAAATCCTGGAAGATGGGAACGCTCTTTGGCTTTTTGTTGTGAATGTTCTCTGAATAATCATATTAAAAACTACCAGGTCTTTGAGTGCTTCTGGAGCTCATCCCTATAACTCCGAAGAACAAGAGCAGCCAAGGGAGGTCCTTGTCCATGCACATGAGGGCGGGAAGCCTCATCTTCTCCTGGAGCTTGTCTTCAGTGGAGCCATCTATGAACACAAGCTTAAAAGGCTTTGGCTGGTTTAAAATTCGTTACTGTAAAGTGTTGCTTTTTCTTTTTCATTTGGTGGGGGATTTGTGAAGGGGGGGTGGGCCGGTTGTTTTTAAAGCGCAGGCAGACTTGGAGGGGTCAGGCCCAAGCGGCCCCCCGCCCCCTCGTCACAGGCACTGGGGAGCTGG